TCCCATATAACGGTAATTTCGAGAAATACAAAATCTTCGATAAATCAGTAAATATTGAGGCTAATTTATATATAATTGATGATTGCAACAATTCTTTACCAAGAAATACGTTTATGACAAAATTTTGGAAAATGGGCGTAGCACCGCCCACTTGTGATCACATATATGTATCTCGCTAACCGTTCTAGCAATTTGTACCAAGCTCGGTATGGTTATTGTGCTTGCCACATAAAAGCAAACCGTTGAAAATTGTTGAAATCGGACTAAAATTGAGGCCGCTTTTCATATAACGGTAAATTTCAGATATGCTTGAAATTTCAATATTTCGAAATTTAAGGACGCTAATTTACTTAAAATGTATACACCCCGGCTTATCATGTAGCGGTAGCTTTCGGAAAGGTGGAAAACATATATTTAATACTTGCGCCGGGTATTTAATGTTCGGCTCCGCCCGAACTTAGACTTTCTTACTTGTTTGATAACCGTTTAATGATTAAATTACGACAAAAATAATTATTTGATTAATTTCTATTATCAACAACATGCCAAACTATAGACAAAAATTAAGAATGTTTAACAATAAAATGACTAATATGCTTTTTTAGTTCTACGTTTGTATGCTTGTTACATTAATCTACAGTCAAACTTATCAAAACTTGGTGAAAAAAAGTGATAATATTGTTTATTGTTTGTTTGTCAATGTTGTTTATAATAATCATAACATTTTTTCCAAATGTGTTTCATTTTTTTTCTCAACGGATTCATTCAGGTTTCCCCTTGATACATATACAGTATTTTTTTCATGAAAAAATTCGATGCAGAACACTGTTTTATCATAATTTGTTATAAACAATTGAAAGTAATATGCAATAAATTACGTAATAAATTTTTTGAAAAATTACATGCTTGAAGTGTGAAGAATTATGAGTCGATGGCCGTTTGAAATTTCAAAATCGATAGAACCTAGCAAAAGTTATAGTCGACAGAAGAAAAAGTTACAAAAAACTTTGTTGCTCAATATTAACAACAACAATTTTTTTTTTACCAAATCACTTGGCACACGTATATAGGACTATAAACTCTACCAGAATATGGTATTAAAAACAAAAACTGAGACCTAACATTTTTAGGTGGCCCACTTCAGGAATTCTTACCCATATTCAATATAATTAAAAAAAAAAAATTATTTATTGTACCTGAAACATTTTACTTTTAATAACATTTAATGAAAAATTAATTTAAATTTGTGTTCGAAAGTTTGGAGTATTTACGTAGCACTATTTATTGGCAAATCTACGGCTGTTAAATAAAAATGTGTAATATATTAAAGTGTACTCAATAAAAAGTTTTTATTGTATATTCATGAATTCATTTTATTTTTTGACTCCCAAAGTAGTGGTTTTGGTCCATAATTTGACTAGTATTTTTCTGTCTATTTTGAACTAGTATGAGACTGGTATATTTCTGACCGAAATCTGCCAATTGCCATCTCGTAGGACATCCCCATGTTAAAAATACCAGTTGATTGCATGGAAAAAAGATAGTTGGCTGACTAGTTGGGCATGCGGTTCATACTAGTTGTGAGGTAGTTTACAACTAGTTCATTTCACTACAGGGTATGTATGAAGTCTTCCTGACTTAAGTATGTACTACAATGCCGACCATTTGAAGAGTTTTAATGTAAACTTAAAACAATTTTTTTACTAAAATCTCTGAAATGCCCAAAATGTTACGCAATTAATTCCATAACATCCAGTTTACTTAAAGAAGTTGAGACAACGTGCTTTCTCTCGTATTCACGCAAACCAACGGCTGGTAGTTGGCAAAAAACTAATTTTTTAAGTTCATTCATTAAAAATTATTTTTATACCGTAAACTACCACAAATAAGTATTTTAATTCATGCAGATTTTTAGTTATAACGCGTTATATATGTATGCATGTACATTACCTCTTTGGGCTCGAAGAAATAATTTATGATTTAAGTATTTAAAGTCAGTTTTCTTAAAATAATATTTCCCTAATGAATTTGTTGATTAAAATCATTTCAACTAGAATATTCGTATTATTTGTATGTGTCGGTGTGTGTGTGTATATATACGGACGTACATACATACATAAATACGTATTTACATAAATATGTACATAATACGCTTCGACTTATGGTGATTTCGTTTCTACAAAAAAATGTCGCCTTTTAATTGCCCTTTCTCTTTTCGTATTCGGTTCCAAAATAAAGGCAAACGGTAAGAAACATTTTGTGTTCGTTTCTTAAAATTTCACGCTCTTGAAAGTCAAAAAAGGCACATCCCTGCCCTTTGAAGCTTTGTCATAGTTAATGGTTGCCGTGAACATCAGATAGTTGCTTAAAACGACAATATTATGAATTGCGTGAGCTAGACATGGACAAGAGGGTAAAAACATGCCCTTTAAAGGGTTGAGTATAACATCTAAAACATTTTGCAGCGGGGAAGGGCAACATTTTTTGGAAGACACGATTCCATCACCATTAAACACACTTATTCAACAAGTGCATACGACCGTTTTGATTTAAAGCAATTCCTAACAAATGTACATTTACTTTTGTACCACATAGGCATGTACTAGGTACGAGTGTATGTTTGTATAGTATATAATTACGAGTATGTATGTATTAACAATTCGATATCTTATTCCGTTGCATTAGTTCCGGTAAGCTCTGTAAATTCCTGCTCACAATAATCCATGACAACATCGGATCGGCAGTCACCCATTAGTCCAGGTAAGAGTACGGCCACACCCAGTATGGTAACAAAAGTGCCAAACACGACCAACCCCAATGCTGGCAATTTTTCCCGACTGAAAAGATGATGCGAATCCATTTGTATAAAGGCCAGGCCAGGAAGTATGTAAGCTAAAGGAATTGCCGCTAAAAGTCCCTGCGTATTCAAAAAAGAGAAAAAGGAATAGCCAGCATGCATATTAATACATACATACATAATACGTATATTTGTGGAGTCAGACATAGTAACAATAAGTCCAATTTTAATGATTTATGATTAAGTAACTTAAATTACTAAAAACAAATATTTGCTTAAAATTAAAACACATTCCCATAATAATTTAAAACCGTTAATAATCTACCAATAACAGATTAGATTTTTCGAAGCATTATGTATTACATTGAAAATAAAATGTTCTGAAAAGTGAAACGGAGGTGTCATTTATTTGCATTGTTACTCATACAAACAAGGCGAATTAATATAAGGAGATAGCAGGAGTACAAAAACAAAAATTTACATGTATTTCGTTTTTGCTTTGGCGGCATAAAATGTCAAAATCTGTAAGAGTGTGTGTAGAAATTCAAACAAAATATTTCAATTTGATATGAGAAGCCGTGCGGCGAAACACATACACAAAATCAGCTGAGCTAGTAACACCACCTTATATAAATTCGCCTTGCTTACATAGTTGAATTAGATATTGTTCCTTGTCAAGAAGAACGTCAGAATAAAAAAATTACTTGCTTTTTTAATTACATATTAAAGCCAGAACTTTGTTCATGCTGAATAAAATATTCAAGCTCAATATTGAAAAGGTGCAATCACAAGATACTACCAGCCAATGCGAATTTGTACAAAGTGGTATCGGTTGAGAAACGACAAAAATTACAAAAAAAAATTGTACGCACAATGACGGCAAGAAGTACTCCAAAATACAACAAATATCATTTTGACATTCAGAAGAACCGCGGCGAATACTACTAACCATTGTGCCAAGGCGAATTTATACAAGGCGATGTTGTAAGATCAGCTGATTTCTCCGCCTTATATGTATTTTGTTATTGCTTTTACAGATTTGACAGCACACCCATCAAAAGCAAAAACAAAATACATGTAAACTTTGGGGCGAATTGAGATTTGACATAACACCCGCAATCCAAATGCATGTGGTTGTTGTTGTTGTAATCTAAACTCGCCAGTAACACCACCTTTTATAAATTCGCCTTGCATTGTTCATACATACAAGCAAGGCGAATTTATACAAGGTGGTGTTACTGGCGAATTTAGATTTTCGCCGCGGTCCTTCTGAATGTCAAAATGATATGTTTGTTGTAAACGATGCCAATTCATATTACAACAAACACATCGTTTTGACATTCAACAGAACGGCGGGGAAAATCTAAATTCGTCAGTAACACCACCGTGCATAAATTCGCCTTGCATACAAGTGATAAATGTTCTTCTTCTGCCTGGAAACCGCCTGGAAAGTACCTGCAAAAAGGTAGAAATACCCTTTCAAAATGTTAGAGAGGGTGTTTAATGTGAAGTAAAAAAGGCTAAAGTTATTAAAATAAATTTAAAAATTCGCAAAATATGCACTGATTTTAATCAATTCCTGCATTTATATAACTTTTTAGTATTTTTAAGCGTTTTGGTCAATAACTCTTTTAGTCTGATTACAGCACTTAACGTAACACTCGTAAATACTTAAGCTGTGTAAAGTCGTAAGTTTACGACGCCCCCTTTGTGAAAAAATGCAAATAGGTGCGTAAAGTGACTGCTTGACAGATCAACCAAGATTTTGTGAAACAGTTTTTGTTTCGTAGTATTTTCCATGACATCCCGACATTTTGTCTCTATCACTCTTGGCTAAAATACAATTAAGAATACCGAAAAGTAGCAGAAAACCTAAGTCAATACAGCAGGTAGATGAAATTCATTAATTTTATTCGCATATTATTTTTATCATACATATTAGTATACAAATTTCGGGCCCTCGGCCAGTGTTGCCACGGATAAATTTTTTTTCTAACAAAATTTCCTACCAAACCAAGACCTACCAAACACTTTTTAAGTTTTTAATTTATTTTTTCCAATGTCAAGTTTATTAAAAATATAGATAACATAACATTTAGTAAACTAAAACAAAGCCGGTATAATAAAAACAAATTAACTACATTTAACAACTAATTTCACTGTAAAGACTTACACAAATGTTTGTCTCTTTACACATACATATCGTCGTTTAAAGTACAAAACCGCTTATCAAGATAATGCAAAACCGCGTATGTGAGGTCCCATAAATTATTATCTGTTCTGTATTTCATGTTTCAAAATAGTTCTTTTTTATTAAGCAATTGAATTTCTGGCTAGTATATTTCAGGATGAATGGATAAGGATTGAGCCAAGAGCTTGTGTGAGCAAATCCATTTTTCGACAGCAAATGCTAGTTCCGCGGTTTTGCAGAATGACAATACGCGATTTTGTACTTTAAACGACGATATGGTTATTATTATTATTATTACGTCGTGGACCTAAGAAGATATATTGTGCTAATTATAATCACTCCAACCCTATGCTATTAAAGAAGTTAAGCAATTTTGAGGGCGCCATGTTTCAAATTTTGGATGAAGAAGACAATCATTCCCCAAGGTGTATCAGTCTACTATTTATGATACGTGGGCATTCACATAAAATATGCTCTGGGGTTTCCTTCACCAGCTCATAAAAGGCTAGTGACCATGCAAGCGCATTTGGGCTCTATGTTTTGAGCGACAGTCAACCCTTTCGTTGCCTTCAAACCCTTAATGTCCCGGAACCCACAACAGCATTACGCTATTGTGGGCTTTCAAGCGGTTCAAAAGAATTTTACTGCTGTCCACAAGCCTGATGCTGTTTGGACCACTGTATATACAGTAATAAACCTGTTTGAGTACTCCTCGGGGGTAAAATCTGATTCATAGTTGAATACAAAATTACTGTGGTATGAAAGGGAGTAACAACCGTACTATGGCAGAGTGGCACAGGTAATTTTGTAAACAAGCACTTTTCTTGCAATTTTAAGAGATAATTGCTATTTATCTTTCAGTATTCAGATATCCAGTTTCTAGCCAGAGGCTCACTAAAATCTACTCATCACGTTGGAGCATCTCCGGGTAATGTACCATTGAATGTGTTGGCAGAACTTATGACCACCATAACCAACGCAGTCTCCAAGGAAGTGCGTGCCCTGAGTTTAAACGGTAGCAATTCATACCAATTGCTATTGTATGTGTGTATGATTCATATTTCATCACAACATTTTGTTTATTCATCATATTTTTGCTCTGATCCAGTACTCCATGAACTTACAAATTCCTCCCAAATCTTGTAAATGAGAGCGATTTTTGGAGAGTTATGTAGAGAACGAAGTTGCATGATTTTAGCCGAACTTTTTCTACTGGTAAAATAATGAAAAGTGTTAAGCGATCACTGGTTGTCGTTTTTACAGGAAAAATGCTTTTTTGTTCCCGTACTTTTTGTTGTTACTCACTTTTTACTCTCACTTCAGCGAGTAGTTTTGCTGTTTGACATTTTTACAGGATTTTACACGAAAAGTATTGGATCAGAGCTTTTATGTACGCTCAAGGCATATTTAATAAGGTAGAAGTGACAACTAGCCCGAACTCTCTTGTAGCTAGTTATAATGTCAAAAACTGTAAGCGAATAATTTAACCCTTTGAGGTGCGAGTGTTATGTTTGCAACAAATTAGCATAAAATGAAACGCATCTGCATAAATACATACATATGTATGTATACTAATTTTAAGAATTACTTTATTATTACCTTACACATATGCATGTAGACAGAAACGAATACCTCAAAAGGAAACCACCTAAATGAAATGAAGGAAATGTTGAAAAAAATGTTTGTTTTTATCCGCCCAATGTTTTTGTGTCTTTAGCTCCTTATTTTAATATTTACTTCTAAAACACATCCGGCACTTATAAAAAATGATTTAATGTTTTCTTTTAAATTTATATGAAGACTTAATTCTAACAATTTCTTCATACAATTTTTGTAATGATAGATTTCTTTTCCTTTTAAGTTGTTAAAAATTACTGGTATCATGTATGGGCCCTTTTACTCCGTTTGCGTCTGCGCATCAACAGATGATATCGTCACTTTTGAACTTTCGTGTGCTTCAGGCATTTTAAGCACAGAAACCTCCAAGGGCAAGGGAATTGCACCTTGGTAAAAACGCATGCGTTTAAAAATATTTGGCTGTAATGGGCCAGTAATAAAATCATTCATGTTGAAATGATTTTCACAAACACGGGAAGAATCTTCCAATTGAACACCGCCAACCTGAAAATGCCAACCTGAACAGGGTTAAAAGCATGATTCAATAATAGAAGGTTGGATAACCTGGCAGTTGTGTCGCTCCCGCATTCTGCCTTAGCCTTGGTTGCTTTCTTTTTTGATTTATAGAAACTACTACTAAAATACAAGGAGAAATATTGACTTCGTATTAAAAGTTCACCAGGCAACACTGCTGATATTTTTATCGATTGTTCCGTGGAAATTCATTTTTTACTGCGCAAATTCAAGTAAGTAGGCCAAAAAAAATCAAAAAATAATGGAAATATTTTGAATTAAAACCATAATTTACATATTTATTTGCAGGGTATCGAAGTTATTCATAATTTATATTCAAAAAGTAGCGTTTTACAAGAAGTGCAGCCGTTGCAAGCAAGTTTTGTGTGCTAGGATCCCTGTGTGTTCGTCCACGTATGGCTGGTGCAGTCCACTCGGAACTACTTTGGTCAAGTGCAGCCGTTGCATACTTACAAATAAATGCGAAAGTACAAATATTTATAAATATATTTTCTTGTGCAGGTAAGGATCATTTGGGTGTCCGTCCACGTTTGCTGGCGCATGTGTTTTTACCACTGCAGCCTTTTGGGTAGGACAAGTGCAGCCTTTGCATATTTACAAGTAAGTATGTATACCACTCCATAAAAGCGAAAGTGCAAATATTAATAAAGATATTTTCTTGTACAGGTCAGGATCATTTATGTGTCCGTCAACATTCGCTGGTGGAGGAATTTTTATTACTGCATCCTTTGGTTTCGTCAAGTGCAACTTTGCATATTTACAAGTATGTATTTATACC